GAAGCAGACAGACCCGCATGTCACTCAAGTAGATACATTCGCATTGACTAAGGTCAGGGTCGAACATCGCGACTGCGATACATCGACTGTTGAAGCAGACATAGACCCGCATGTCACTCAAGTCACTCAAGTAGATACATTCGCATTGGCTGAGGTCAGGGTCGAACATCGCGACTGCAATACATCGACTGTTGAAGCAGACATAGACCCGCATGTCACTCAAGTAGATACATTCGCATTGGCTGAGGTCAGGGTCGAACATCGCGACTGCGATACATCGACTGTTGAAGTAGTCGATAATTAGTTTACGATTGTAATTTTACAATGCATTCCAGAACTTAGGCTAGGCTCAACATGGCAACGGCCATAGTCTATAAGTGTTCGATAGATATAAATGGATTTATTGTTCAAAGACATAGTATTGGTTTTCAGAGTACAGTATTCGATGGCTTGGTCTTATAATCAACTGTTCGTTATTTATGGACCTATCCATATTTTATTAACACAATGAATTCAATGCGGTTCCAATTAAAGGTTAACTGTCCCATACATTCGACATCATCATCACTTAATGAATCTTTACTTAGTAAAATACAACATCTATACAACGGTTAAACTGGGACGGGTGGCGTCGTCCTGTAATCTAGCTACTAGGAGGTTACGAATTGTGGATATTTATAGGCATGCACTGTGGATGCGATACTCCCTGGTGTGGATTAACGTCCGCACGAGTGAGTACTAAGACTATCCGCAGTACTATTCTGAAAATTAGCCCAATTCGTATATACCAAGGCAAAAATGTGGTTCGGATTCCACTATGAACTGTAGGTCCCTTAGTTGACATTATAGCTGTTTGGGCTATTAATTAACAGCTTTGTCTAAGGAATATGTTGACCTTAGTCACTAACAAGACTACAAGATCGCGCCACTCATCCTACACTCAACTCCATTTACACTTGGCTTAAAATACCTACTTTGTATGATTGCCATTTCATTGTAAAGTATTAAAGTATTAATTAATCACCCAATCAATGCATCTCATTCTCACAAAACTTCCGACATACGTTTCACGATTACCGAAGTACTTCCTGGCACCTCCTAAAATCCACAGTTATCTAAAATCATAGGTCCTTTATGAAGCTCTAAATTACCCAAATAGACCATCAATGGAACAGAATTAGTCTACAGTTCTGTATCTTATCTATACAGCTACTCATTATTAGTATCAGGTTTAGTGCTTTGACATGGATTGAGTGTCAATGTCAGTTTGAACATTTCGTTGAGCTATTTTGGGATGATTTCTACGAATACTTTTACATGGTATGACCAGACTCAAAGTAAACTAATAATAGTGAAAGAGCAATGAAACCCATTTTACAGATAATTTAAGAAAAGTGCTTCGTAAAGTCAAACTCAGAGACGAAGGTATATTCAATGGTTTTATTGTCTTTCCTAAAATACAGGACAAATTTGGTGAGATAGTGACGGCAACCGAAGAATCTAACAAAAGGAATAGCGCCCTGCCAAAAACAGGAGGTGAGCTGATCAGCTGAGATGAGAACAGCGAACAGCTGACCTTGACACCTAAACAGCTGTTGTCTGCGGAGTGCGGCGCGACGCCGGCGTGGGCGACAGCGGTCACGTGACAGAGGATATTGACACGATGCGATATATCGAACTGTTACTGAACCTGTTGTACGCATCAGTATTAACATTTTAATGATATAACTCGTAGAACGTCGACGTTTAATCAAAATTGGAATATTGATTGGTTGAAGTTACTGTTTAATCTATTCATGTTATGGGATCACACTCAACATTTAAAATGGAACGGAAAAGAGATGATGGTAGATGGATATTTATCGCTATCGATATAGCAGTAAGGTGTTAAGCGTGTTAGGTAATCTAACCATCGAATGAAACACAATTGCAACAATTTCAAATCGAATCGAGGTTAAATCATCGAACTGGTTACAACCGGATTGTACTGAATAAGCTATTGCATGCGGGATGTGATTAGGCGTTCGTGGAATATTCCGAACGGTGTTTGATGTATTTAGGAGTTGGAATTTTGTAAATGATGTAATATTTTGAATCTAAAAAACAGAACCAAATCATGGACTATTATAAATCCCCCTAATAGGAATAGGCACAGACTTTAGAGTGTGTAGCTGTAGGCCTAACGTTTATAGTATGTGGTGTTAGCTTTACTAAATAGTTTTTATTATTAACTGACTTAATTTAATTTAATGTATATAATCAAAATATCCTCCTTATTGTAGTTTAAGGTGTACTTCCTACTTCGAATTCGCCTTCTGTTAAATGAAATCCTAAATCACTTTTCCAAAATATTTCATCCTAGATTTTGAATTTATCGATCGACGAAGATTAATATCCATTTGTTCAGCATAATTATAATTCTGTAATTTTGTTATAACAAAATTTAAAATGAGAATGCTGGGATAGGGTTCTCGAAATGATCTCGGAAGTATTTCCCCCAATTCCTTCCTCGGTTGAGGAGAGGTCCAAGGAGCCAAAGACGAGTCTTATAAGCAAAACAAAAGAGACTAAGGAATTTTTTTACGATTTACTCAATTTCCAATCTAGGGATACTTGAAATTCTAGCAACACTGCGTGCGGCCGGCGGGTGTACGACCTTCCCGTCTTATCAGTCAGGGTTGCTCTATCTTATCAGTCAATTCCCCTGTACGGTTCACGCTTCTACGGCCAAATATATTGATAATTTACTTTATTATTATTATGTAACGTATCACACGATTGGTGGGTTTGGCCATGTTACAATGTATACTAATTATTGTACTGTATCTGGTATGGTCGTATTACAAGTACGTGTTCTGTGTTTACTATTTGCTCGACTGTGGTACAGTAGTTATGCATTCAAGTTTTGTGGGGTACACAGTCTTGCCGGTCGTGCATTGCGCCAAACCCTCAAAGGGCCCCAAAAAATGTTCATTAGTTGCGCCAAGCCCAAGCCAGGTAGGGGAGTTGCCGGCAGAAGGAATGTCCTTGTTTACGTGTCATCGTAACCTAACCTAACCTATCCTAACCTAACCTAACCTACTCAATTATACATCCAAAGGGGGCCGCCACTTGGAACAGTCAAGAAACGTATTGGGTGGCTCCCTAGAGTAGTTGGCGCAATTCAGGAATACGCGACTACCTGACTCAGGTCAATTGGCGCAATTAATGCCCGCCCGTCTTGCCACTTGCTGCTTCAAACACTTATGACAGTCACCGCCCATCTGTAGCATAAAGATAAAGGTTTAGGAGCGTATCCCATCACCATCTCCATGAGTATCCTATTACAGCGATGGAATATCCCAGTGCCTGTCCATCCAACTGTTGGACACGAAACAGCTGATCCATTGTTTGACCGGTTCAATCCAGTTCAATGATTGTGGCTGCAAAAGAGATTGACAGATTATAGAGTCTTACATAACGTAAGTTAGAGATTTTTCTGCATATATTCTGCTACTGGGGAACTTACGACTACACCACTACAACACTGTGGCAGTTTGCAAAATGGCCTTTCGGTGGACCCTCCAGTCATCAGTGAACTGGCAACTTTAAATCGACTCCAGCGATCTAACATCACGTAATTTAATAACACGTACTTTGTGAACACTATGTAAAGAAGAAATTTAATACTCTTCCGTTGACTTTAGGCAATGCCTCCATAGTACTACAACCTTCCATAGTATCTGCAAATAATCTGTAGGTATCCGTGTTATTTTAATGGTTTTAGGAATGGATCATCAGTTTATGATATACTGGATCTACATAAAAGAAGTAAACAATTTTGTACATCAATTTAACACAATCAACATGTCCGACATTGCAGCCGTTGGTATCACTGGGTTGGAAAACACCCCAAGTTTTTCCGACACAGCTGACTATTGTCAACAATGCAATGTGGTAAAACTGTTATTTATTTATTTGGTTAAAAAACAACGTTGTTTACTTCTTTTGTGTATTCAAGCGAAACTTCCAAAGATAATCTTTCTCTTAACAGTGACATTGGCAAACAGGCTTTTATGTGTCCACTAAACAAATATTTTTTCCAAAATAAACAATATGGTTCCATGGTACCTACTCGAAAAAGGTACCAGGTTAAGGAGAGGTTTACTATGATGTATAGTTATTATATGTGACAGATTGTTCTCAGCAATTGCAGTTCCCAGATGAATTTACTTAAAGCATTAAAGGATGAAGTCCCCTATGACAACGGATAGGTCAACTTGACAGGTTCCTAATGCTAACGCAAGACAAGAAAGTTATACGGTAACCAGTGAAAATCTAGTTAAAGTTGAAAGATTGTATAAAAAATAGAATTGAATGCAAATATAAGGAGTGAGCCAAAGGGAAGCCGTTTTTAGTTCCTAAACTTATATTGTACACCAGCTTTACCCGTGTTTTCTAAGACCATCCTGATACCTGTTACTCACTGTTGTGCCATACACAAAATACAAAACATACACAGAAAAACATTTACAAAAGTAGCACTAAAACATCCAAATCCTGCACCTCCCATGCATTTTCCGTCACTACCACAATTGGTTGATAGCATGGTAATGCTTTAAATGCTGTTAACCATGCCAGCTTAACAGTATAAAATTTGATTTCTTACCATTGATTGCTTTACTATAGGTCGGCCGCTTAGAAAGCGACCTCCTCCAGCATTGGTTTAGCATTAGCGCGCAGGTCGTTTTCTAAGCGGCCGAACTACTAAGATATTACTGTAATACTAAATACTATATTATACAGATTCCTACAGTCATAGTAAAATCTTAGCCACAGATAAGACTTTAATGCAGCAAATTGGAAGGTATATATTGTGCTAAGTTGGGCAGTGGCTTAGTTTTCATTCCTCCTTTTCCATTAAAAAGACTATACAAATTCACAAAACGAGGAAATTAATCTTTAGTTTTGCACGTAGACTTTTCCCTCTGTGCTACCAAACTTACTGACTTTATTTGTAGCATGCATCTCCATGATGCTGTGTGGAGCGTCGTATGGATGGACGTCCCCTGTACTGCCGCGACTGTTGACCAACAGCAGCGAGATAGAAATGACACCGGACCAGAGCTCCTGGGTCGCAGCGTTCGTCGAGGTAACATATTATGGAGTTAAATGTTAATTAATTGTATAGACATAGATAGAATATGGAGTATTGCTATAGCTGACATTCTGTATTAAATATCTATAAATAGAACTTTTTCCTACAGTTACCTAACAATGTACATGTTCTCTCACTGATTTGAGAAAGCAAAGTGGCCAATTCGCTCATCAGTGAGACAATGTTAACATTGTCTCACTGTAATTACTTTGTCTCACTCCAGATTTGCAACGTGAAGGCACGAAATAATGAGCGCGTAACATGCAGGCAATGTCGTATGCGCGCGAAATGCGTTGGCAGCACTGGCTGTAAATCAGCTGGTCAGCTGTTGTACTGTTGTATTTGTCACTTCACGTTTAATGTTATATTAAAATTTCACTTCTGTGTAAAAATAGGTTATGTTTCTTCACCAATTTATTTGTTTTATGGTAACTGTAGGAAAAGTATAATGTGCAACTCGAGTTCAAAGTACAATTGCCTCACTCGAGAAACCATTCAGGCTCGTGAGTAAGGATTTCTCTCGAGTGAGTCAATTGCTCACTTTTCTCACTAGTTGCACAAATAACTATAGTTTTAGCTTAGTACAGTTTAGTTTCGTTCAGTTTTTTCTTCTACTCTACCAGTTTATATATTATTAATTTTAAAACAAATTTTTGTACTGTGACAAAATAACTAATTTCACTGCGTTTTAGGTGGGAAACCTGTTTTCACCAATCCCATTTGGTAGCTTAGTGGACGTGTGGGGTCGCAAACCCTGTATCCTCATCACTGGACCCCTTTACATTATCAGTTGGATCATTGTACTGATGACTCGCTCCGTTTATTGGCTCTATGTGGAGAGAATCATACAGGTCAGTTGAACATATCTAGTGAACTACAGTACGGTCCACGAGAGTCTGCAGTTGAGGGAGAAGCCTATTTACCACGTGACTTCGAAGTAGCCAATAAGGACCGCGCGGTGTTGCCAAATCTAATAATACCAGCTGATTTGAAAATATTTTTTAGTATATTTTAATTAGTGTCGAAAATTAGTAAACCCGGATGGGTGGTGTTGCAAGTCGTGCTAGACCAGTCTTGCTATTGGCTGCCGCCAACTGCAGACTCTTGTGGGCCCTAGTGTAGTGAACTAAAATTATACGAGATGTCTGTGAACGGTTAACTTATAACCGGTAAATATGTTATAGAATTTCATATTTAGCAGCTGATTCAATAATTGTGTTGTTCGTTTATTTGTTTTCCTTTGTTCTTTTTGGTCAGGCCAAGACTTTATGGACACCCTGTATATGTTGCAGCTGATTGATGTGTTGGCAAACCTCAGCTATTGAGCTAATATTTTAATGTTAGGATTAAGTGGAGAGATTTGATTTCTTCCCCTAAAACCGCCAAAATTTGAGTGAACAGTATAAGGTTTGTTGGTTTGTCATTTGGTCTTGTACTTGTGTTATCCCTGACATTATTTGAAGGAAAGTAGTGTGGGCAACACACTTTCTACTGGGGAGTAGGCACATTGCACTTTTCATGACAAGACCAGGTGCATTTGTCCATCTTATTTATGATGTTTACTTCAACCGGTGACTTACTTCAACTGTTTTGCAGGGTATAGCCATTGGCATCATGTGTACAGCTGTGCCGGTGTATACTGGAGAGATAGCTCAGCCCAGCGTTAGAGGCAGTTCTAGCGCTCTCAACCAGGGAATGTTATATGCTGGTATCGTCTACTGCTACTGCCTAGGTATGTTTACTAGATATCATTGAGATCCAAGATTCAAAGAGGGTTTGAGCAATCTTAAATATTATTAGTCTTTCACCCATTCTGATTTTGGAGTTTTTAGCTGTAAAATTTTTAAAATAGTTGGTTAAACAAGTGCTTTGGACATTAAATCTCTGTTTGTATTCTCAACACACTGAATCGACACATGAATCCATGCACATAATCTGAAATTTGTCTAGAAAAAAATAAATTGCTAATAAAAAAACGTTACTTTTTATGTGACTAACCTTTTGAGCTCCAAATGATGATGTATCGGACTCAAACGATACCAAAAAACAGTTACTCTGTATGTGACTAACCTTTTTGAGTTTTAAATGCTGATATTTCGGACACAAGAGTTACCTAAAAGCTTCCAATCATGATCTATCCATCAGAGCTGTGCCTCACATCTGCTGCAAGCTGAGTATCAAGTTTAGAACTGCTTCTAGGCTTGGGCTTTGGGTTGGGTTTACCAGAGTTGTTAGTATGGAAGACTTCCATCCCATCAGTAGAGCAGCAGGCCCAGGCGTTATCCCTCTAACCAGGAGACAGCATAGCAGGGTTGGGGGTTCTGTTCCCATCTTGGTGAAGTTAAGTGTGTACTGTCTGTGACAGAGCCTGGTTGGAAAATTCACTTTACATTAATGAGACGGGTGTTTTTACTTTCTCCCCCTATACCATAGTATATGGAGAAAGTATTGTTTAAGTGAGTTGCACTAATCAGATAATTTGATACTTTTTGCTTATCCTTACTGAGTGTGTGCCCGTCAAAAATAGTTTTTAAATTATCAGTTTTTTTAAAATAATAAGATTATGGGAAAATACGATGCAAATTTACTTACCTAATTAAGTAATCCTTGGAGCTGAAGTTAAGGTCGATTACAGCGAAGAATAAAAACAGAAAAATATATGGTTCTAGACGTAACATTAAGTATCTTGTCATATTGTTGACTGGTCTGTTCTCAGGTCCGTACATGTCGTATCAAGCATTTGCCTACGCCAATCTGGCCGTGGCTGTGGTGTTTGTGGTGACGTTCGTCTTCATGCCGGAATCACCATACTACCTAGTGATGAAAAACCGGGATGGTGAGGCAGCTAAGTCACTGATGTGGCTGTATGGGGAGGACAGTGTGCAGGGGATACAGGAGGAGCTGCATGCTATCAAACAGAGTGTGGAGGAGGATATGAGGTGAAGGGAGGGGGTGCAATATACTAAGATTTGTATAACTAAAAACTCGGTTGTGTCTATTAAACTCCTAGGTCTAATTGTATTTTGAAAACTCTATGGAGCTCTATGTGATGCTTGCTTGACAATCAAAAGGTTGCCAGATCGATCCTGAGGAGTCAGTAGCTTTTTGATGGTTCAAAACTGGATACAGCTATCTCTGATCATTGAACTGTAAATTAATGATCTTGCCTAATGAAACAGCTGATCTTAGTCAGTGACAAAGCTACACAGATCATCTCAAACCATTCTACACTCTCATCCTTTACTCATAATCGGGTTAAAATACGCACCTAGGTGATACCATAGATAAAACATACTCCCTTAGTAGATTTCTCATCCTTATGGAACAGCTGAAGACAATTTTATTGTTAGTTCTGTACGGTTTTCTGTAGAGGTCGTGTTTTGTTTACAATTTGTTTCCCGTTATTACAGCCATTTAAAACCTCGTTACACCAAATAATACGATCTAATCATAAACAATAACCTGTCCCCTAGTTATAATAACCAAACAGTAAAGCACAAATCAAGAAATTAACCCTAAAATAATAGAAACAAAGTTTCGTTGACACTAGCGCCCATGTGTCACGTACATGAACTAGACACGAAAAACGTGCTTCAAAATTTACAATGGGATGAGAAGTCTACTTGTGTTGGTTAGTCTATGGTGATACATACCCATCTCAATGATTGACAATTGGTATAAAAGCTGTCAAATTAGTGTTAGAGTTTCCAAAGTGAAAGACACTGAGTAAGTATGGTTCATTTCATTTTTCTTGAAATGTTAGACTTGCACAACGTTTGATTGTTATTCTATCAGCTAATAAAAAAAACCACTAAATCACAGACTAATTGATTAGTTGTGTACATGGGCATTGTTTTAGTAATATAGCTAAAATAGCTGTAATCGCAGCAGACTCCAGCGTTAAACAGTTATCTATATCTTATCTAATATGTTTACCTATTACATTTGTTATTGTTACATTTATTTTAGGTCGACAGGAACGTGGTGGGACCTTCTCAAGACCCCTGACACTCGTCGAGCATTGCTGATTGTCCAGGTAGCGCTTATAGCCAAATACATGAGTGGCTACCTCGGCATTGTGAGCTACGCGACCAAGACTTTCACAGCCAAAGGGGATTCTGTGCTGAACGGAGACGAGTGGTCAATACTCATGGGATTCATACTGTTTCTTCCCATGTTCGTGGGTGCTGCGCTGGTGGAGAAGGTTGGACGGCGGCCACTGTTGATGGTATCAACAGTAGGTGAGTGACCAGCTACAGCAAGGTCAAAAAGTGGAGCGGATAGCACAGAAAATAATAATAAATCCATTGCACACGTCAAAAACCATAAGGAACAAAATTTTATCGTTGGCAAACCTGTAGAATAATTTAAGATTGTATATAACTGAAACCACTAATTCTCTTAGTTTTAGCACGTTCGCTACCAATCACCTTTTATTTGCGACGCTGAGGTCATTGCCACGGACCGTGGTGTACATCTTAATACTAAACAGAGACCGGGTGTCATATGGTTAAAAAAGCTTAACCATATCTTCCATAACCATATCGTCTTTGTGACGGTCTAATTGAAGGCCCTGAATTTTTGCAGTGGTCTATAGATATGTCTGCCGCATATGTGCGTCACTTTGGTCTGAGTATATGATGATTAGTGATATCATATGATTGATAGTTAGCAAAACAGATTTTTACTCTGCTACATCACTGGCCCGCGGTCTGCTTGTACTGTGAATAACTTTTGGACACTGACACAAATATGCAACGTCATTCTATGGGTAGAAACCGGCTGTCGCATATGTGCGTCGCTGGTCCATATGAATGAAAAATTTAGTACTGTACTATTGCGGTAGCGAACGAGTTAATCCATTATCTTGAATAACATAGAACATAGGGAAAAAGTAAATACACCACTACTGCCACTAAAATACAAGGGTTGTCCATAGTTTAAGGTCTCCGTTAAGCTTCCGTCGCAGCTAAGTGAGCTAGTTTAATGTTTAGACCAACATCGTTTTCCGTACTTCATCCACTGCTGCTAGCTGGTTCTCACCCCAGGTCCAAGTCTTACCGTAGTATTAGAAGCCCAGCCGTTGTCTGCAAGGTGACGTGTAGCCAGCAGACAAACTACAAAACAATGCTTTATCAGATCAGCTGAACACTCATTAGGGCTGCGTAAAGCACATATTTTCCGCCCCACTTTCTTATTTCTCCTCTTCTAATTTCTTGTTTTATGAATACAGTACTGTGAACTCATTGGAAGTGTCGAAATTGGCATATAAACTTGTGATTCTCATACTTGTGAAATTCATTCATATTTCATATTTGTGAACTTGTTAATGTTCATAAGTAATCCCTCGATACAAGGGTTCAGGATCTATCTACGGTCTTCAACTGGTCCCAGTTTGGGCCTTGATTTGTTGATTAGACTTCTGTGGTCTGACAGACATGAATGGACATGTGGGCCAAACTTCTAGACCAGTTAAAGTGTGAATAAATGAGCACAAAAAAGTTAAAAACAAGGATAGGTATGGCTCTAAGATATGTGAGCACTTTGTAGAAACGAATCATATTGTTGATTGGGGTTTGTCTGCAATTCTATACAAGGAGTCTGATTGGAGGAAACGAAATATGGCAGAGTCGCTTTTCAGGGCAATAGAAGACGAGCCACTTTCACGACCATCGGTGGATGTCAGTACGGTGTACTTAAACATTGTTAAAGACGAACTAGAACAACTACGAGATAAGGCCATGAGCGTGAATGGCTTATCAACAATGGACAATGCACCTACCCCCGCCCCCGCCCCCGCCCGTCCTCCTCCAAGCTCAGCTGATCCAGCAGTCGTGGTTAGGCGTTCGACCCGCGTGCGGGATAAAAATATTATTTTTCCACCCTGAGGAAGCTGAACGTTTTTTTTTGAGTTCCGAGAAACGTCGGACTTTTTATGCCGTGCACGATTTGTGTGTTGTATATATGTGTTTATGTGTGTTTTGACGAGTCCCAGACATCACAGACAAAAATAAAGGTGAGTGAAGCCCACAATTATCTCCGTGAATAGACATAAATGGAGTCAAGTTTTTTGACTAACTAAATGTGCGCAAGAGGTGGAGGGAGAGCTGAGGGCAGTCTCAAACACTTGCACAATGTTTTCAAGCTGTAGGCTGACTGCTGTTGTTCATCAGTTTTATTTGTAGCAGTTACCAAAGTTAGGGGATTTTACATGAGGATCGCCGGTGCAACCTAACAAGAGAGATTTTAAAACTAGGAGACACGGTCATTCTATGGTCAGTAGGTTGTTGAAACAGGTGTGTCAACAAGCAAATGCTCTTCAAATTCAATCCACAGTCAAATTCAATCCACAGTCAAATTCAATCCATAGTCTCGAAGTAAAATGATGGAAACCCACTGCTGGCCTTGTCCAAATGTGTGCGACCTTGTATTTACTCCTTTAGTCATTTGTTCAACGAAACACTTCTCCAAACACATCTGTCAAAAATAATCACCAGGCATTGATCTCTTCCATAGAATCAGAGAACGTGATTCTGGGAGGTGTTCGTTAATTTTCCTTCACAGCGTTTTGAATGCTATGAGAAGACTAATTGTCACATAAGAGTGGGAACCAACTAGAAAAGTGGATAGTAAGAAACACAATGTTGATTTCAAATTTTAACTAATTTGCTTGGCTGTGACGGGAGCTGGATGGAGACCTTAATTTATGGTCAGCTCTTGCATAAGATAAAGAGATACTTGTCCTCTTTGCCACAGGTCTCCATAGAGACTAAGGTGTGAGAGGTAGCAGAAGTAGGCTAGGTATATACAATGAGTAGATGAACCAAATAGGTACATAGCATGCAGCAAGCAGGTTCCTAAAGCTAGACACAAATTTTCCAAGTACAGAGGTGACAAAATGGGTTGTCTCGGCTTACACTGCTACAGTGAAAATGTACATTCGTATCTCAAGGAATTGTCCCCAGGGAGGATCAAATAACATAGAAGATTGCATAACCAAAGATCGGGTAATCGAGACTTCTTTACTCTAGTTTCTTTATAACTGTTTAAATAAAACTGTGGTTTATAGCTTTAACTGTGGAAGTTTTTGGTGTCCTTTTTGAGTTAACAAATCACTGATCACTTGTTGCAGGTTGTGCCATATGTGATTTGTGTGCCGTCGTCTACTACTACCTAGAGCTGGAGACTGAGGTATACGTCAGCCAGTACAGTTGGATAGCTTTCCTCTGCATAGCCAGCTACTGTGTGCTGTTCAGTATTGGTCTCGGCCCACTCGTTTGTGTGCTCAAGGCGGAATTTTTCCCGTCAAACACTCGTGGAAAAGCTTCAGCAATCTCTAACATCACCGAGACTATCGCCTGCTTCATCTGCATAAAGATGTACCAGGTATGACTATGTGAAGTTGTTAAATTTGTTGTTAAATTCAAACGGGAGCTACTATTCATTCTTTAACTGTGAATATCCGTTATTCTTGCTCCCAGTCTTTGCCCATTCCCTGATAGCAACAAAAAGTACAAAAACTTTAAAGAGGATTTTTGATAGAGAGGTTGCATGGCTGCTCCACTGTAATCTGCCTCAAATTGAGTCCTGCCTTTTGATAATCAGAAATAATCAGTGACTATGAATAAGGTATTAGCGGTATTAGCCTTTAATAGAATCTTTGTATTATGAACACAATACGTGTACTGATTTTTTTTAAATTTTACTGTGACAGACAATTTTGACAAATCTCTTGATTCTGGAGGCCTTGGAGAATGAGGGACATTGATGTGAAAAGGTTCTAGCTATGGAATGAAGCATATCTAGTCATAGCCTCTGAAAGAAAGAAAATATCCAAGCTCTCAGGAATTAAAGAATCTGTAAGTTTCTCCATAACTGCTTTTCTAAGACAAAACTCAAAACTGTTATCTGTATGTTTACGTCTGTTGTGTAGGTGTTGGCTGACGGGTTTGGCATGTACTGTAATTTCCTCATGTTTGCCACCTTCTGTCTCCTCGGCAGTTGGCTGATCTACATGTACGTCCCGGAGACGACGGGCATGACTTTCTCTGAAATTCAGAGACAGTTCCACAAAGTTCCGATTCATGATAAACACATTGAGAAAATACCAGTGAAGAAGTCCATCGAGAACGGAGTAGTTTGAGAGTTCTCTTTTTCTATTCGTAGTGTTATAGCTATGAGGTAGCCATGGCCATTGAGGTTTCTGGGCTTTCATCCCAAACTGCTAATGGGAATTTGTGCTCCTGCAAAATGAGCTGTTCCAGTCCCCTATCAGGACTTTGATTTTATCTACGATTCCTCTCCATTTCTTAACCGTATCATGACTGTTAATCACAACTTTCTACATTCCCAAAGTCTCTTAAAGATACTCCTGAGCTTCTAATATATTCTACTAGATTTCAATAACTCTTCTTTTACACAAATTGAGGCATCTTATGTAAAATTTAGACAGTTTTTTTTTTCGGGGAAGATTATTAAAGCTTTTTTGTTATAGCCTTATAGTGTGGTGACAGTCCAAGTTAAGCTTAAAAAATTCAATCATCCAATATTTCGTTGGTTGGTTTAAGTTTTAACAACAGAAATTATTCTTATAATTATGACTGTACCAATTTGCTGTAAAGATGGCCATCTCTTGCCCATTTTAGTCTCATATTGTTTTGCCAGCTCAACAGAAGAATATTTTGTTGGTGAACTTGAAGGAAGTTAGTTGGTAGTATAGTAGTTGTCATAAAAGATATCTTAAGACTAGAATTATTTCAGAATTTTAAATAGTAATCTAAAACGTAGGTATTAGGCATATGCTACTTACTTAACCAATTGAATTCAAAACAATTAACCATTGTAAAACAGAATAGTAAAAGGAAATTACAAACTCTAACAACACTTGAAACATATACAGGGTGGGGTTACATACCCCTACACCCCCCCTTAAATTTTCAACCATTTGAGATATTTGAAATCTGTTTGCGGCAACCTTCTTATATATGAGGGGCTACAATAAATGTAAATTTTGAAAATTTTGCCCTAAGGGGTAGTGGGGGTAGGGGGTAGCTCAAAATTTTCAAACTACAGGTATAGTCGAGTTTGGTATCATTTTACAGGTCTTGACAAAACATAAAGAAAATAGAAATCGGACCATTAATAACAAAATGACAGTTCAAAATTACTTTTAATAACCATTAATTGCCTTATAAATTTTTAGCTACAATTTTGTTTTTAATGGTCCGATTTCTATTTTCTGTATGTTAATTGTTATGCTTCTTCAAGACCTGTAAAATGATACCAAACTCGACTATACTTGCTATTTGCAAATTTTGAGGTACCCCCACCCCCGCTCCCTAAGGGCAAAGTTTTTGAAATTGATCATAATTATTGTAGCCCTTCATGTCCAAACAAGTTGCCGCAAACCGATTTCAAATATAACAAATAGTTAAAAAGTTAAAGGGGTGCAAGTTAATTTTCAACCATCCTCATGGTTATTTGGATTTGAAACGTTTTAGGGCACCATTTTGTTATTGGTGGCCCGATTTTGGTTTTCTTTATGTCAATTGTTATGTTTCGTCAAGACCTGTAAAATTATACCAAACTCGACTAAACTTGTCTTTGAAAACTTTGAGCTACCCTCTACCCCCGCTACCCCTAAGAGCAAAATTTTCAAAATTGACCATAATTATTGTAGCCCCTCATATCTAAGAAGGTTGCCGCAAACAGATTTCAAATATCTCAAATGGTTGAAAAGTTAAGGGGAGGTGTATGTTACTTTTCAGCCACCCTGTATTTACATTTATACTGACACTGTTTTTAGATTTTACAGAATAAGTGTAAATATGTTTCAAGTGTTATTAGACATATTTTTATTTTCTTTCCGTAAAATTAACAACACATAATAAGCTGATTTAAGAAAAATTAAAAAAAGTGTTGTGGGACTAAGAAGTTGTGGCGATGTTTTTTTCTGCACATCGTCAACTTTTTTAGTATTTTATAGTTACATATAAGTTGATTCAGTATTGTACTTTGTAGTTAGGTTTATGTTAAACCCTTTTAGCATTTTTTATTAGAGAGCTTGAAAAGATCTGATTCTTGAAATACTATAATGAAGATTTGTTTACAGAATGTGAATGTTTTAAATTATATTACTTTGGTCTATCAATGAATAGGCCATAGCTTATGTACTCTACTTAAGCTGAGTACTTACAACAATTACTACAGTACTTTAATTTACTTAATATTATGAATCATTCTTTTCCTGCAATCATTTATGGTACATGTGACCAAAATTTGTCTTGTTGTCCGTTTAGCAAGTTTTGAGCATTTTCTGTTTTTAAACACTATGTTATGTAATATTTAAAGTAAACGTAATTCTAAGGTCTTTTAATTTATTTATTGTTCAAAGTCATGTTTTTGAATTGTATAGGGTAAAGCAAAGAACACCTTACGAACACATTTAGACTAGTTAAAATAAAGAGATTTCTGAAGGAAAACTCATGTCATGGCTCTCTGATTTGTTAACATTTATAACTAAATGCAATCAATTGTTACTTCAATTTCTCAATAGTTTGGTAAGTTTGCATTATTTGTTTGACATATGAGTGGGATTTTACTGAGATTGTATTTTTTGTCCGAGAAAAAGTGAGATGCAATGATGCAAACGTAAAATTGGCAGCAAATTTCTTACGCTTTTCTACCATTGTCTTCAACACAGGAAGTACACTACCGGTAGGCTATGTTAATAGTGGTTTACGCAGCGATTGCGTAAAGATAGTGTTACCGACACGAGTAAAAAATGTAATGTACTCTCGCCTCGTACCTTAAATTTTCTACCCGTGTCGTTAACTCTATTTACGCAAGTTGCGTACACTACTTTACCTATGATAGTGTTTTAATTACTAAAAATCACTACTCATAACTTTTAAGAGAGGTTATGTTTTGGTTTATAACCTCTCATTGCCACTGACAGTGATGCAACGAAACATGTTCCAAACACTAATTGCACCACTCAACAATTAAATTGGCCTGAACGGCTGATTAGTTGAAGTTCGAATCATTACAGTTTTACTTCTTCTCTCTCAATCCTTGAACCTCATTGGTGTTTTTATGAGTAAAAAAAAATACTATGATGTTGTGAAAGTAAACAATGCTGTTATGTGAAACTTTTTAATTCTAAGAACTGAACTGAAACGGCTACTTTATAAAATGGTCTTAGCTAAAATATATTACTTAACTTTAGATAAATTACACAGTGCTATGTTTAGGTTTAACTATTTTCTTCCTCTCTACTGAATATGAAAATAAAGGTGCCTTTTTTATTAAAATAATAGCTGTTTATGCGTACAGCTCCGTAATTTGAATGTATGCCGCAACAAGGCATCTCGCTGCTTACTGTCATCATTTGTGAACAGAATCAATTGCAGCTCTGTAGCTGATGTGTATGCTTTCCTGTGTTTCTAGAAAATGTTTAAAATCATTGAATCTCTCGCCACATGCACAATAAGGTCAGGTGGTTTTTGACAGCAAGAACATATTCAATGCAGACATTTATTGCCAGATGATTTGAAGTTTATGGCCTTGATGCAATGAGTGAGGGTAAAGTGCAGAAATGGGGAGTTTAAAAATGGCTGTGTAAATTCTGATGAAGAACACTTGGGCCATTCTTAAAGGGGCTTTGGCTTTGAAATTTACGGGGGTAATTGAGTGCTGTAATTCCATTAATTGTTGCTTCAATTTAGAGGTGATATAAGATAGCCATGTCTTGTCTCCAGTAACCTTTTGACTCAACATTTCCTTCATTTCTTCTCCTTTTTCCTTGCATAAAAAATTGCAGGTGACGACAATGATGTCCCCGTGATTGCGGCCCCAGAAAGATGTTCATGATTTTGCTGTAGTCGCGAGTGTCGAAGATGATATCCCCGTGATTGCGGCCCGTGGGAGATGTTCACGATTTCACTGCAGTCACAGGTGTGATGATAATGTCCTCGTCATTGAGGCCCGAGGTTGACTTTCACAATATCGTTGTGGTCGCGAGTGTCGGTGATGATGTCCATTTCAACCCATGGGAGATGTTCACGATTTTGCCGCAGTCGCGGTCCCTTGATTTAGGGTAAGTGTTCACGATTTCACCCTGATCCTGGGTGACATGATGATTTCTCCGTAATTGTGGCCTGCGGGAGATGTTCACGATTTCATCCGCGATCTCGGGTGAGGAGTATAATGATGATGATCGTTGGAGATTTTCAGGATTTCACCACTATCACAGGGAATTTTCACCACAGGGGTGGGGGCCACTCAAGTAATTTGGCCTAGAGCTGCAAGTACCTTAAATGCGGCACTGACACCAAAACCACAATTCCTTCTGGAATGGACTTTTCCACTGCCATTTTTAAACTCCCTAACCCATTTCTGCACTTTACTTACCCTAATTCATTGCATTAGGGCCATAAACTTCAGTCATCTGGTGACAAATTTCTGCAGCTGATATCTTTCTTACAGGTAAAAACCCATGACTAACCTTATCTTGCATGCAGCGGGAGATTCAATAATTTATAAAAAAATTCTAGACATACAGCAAAGCGTACACATTAGCCACAGAGCTGCAAATGGGTTCATACACAAATGATGCCAGTAAGCAGTGAGCCGTCTCTTTGAATCGAACAAGTGAACTATGGAGAAACAGGTAATACACACTAATGTTCATCGTACTTTTTCACATTTTAAATTTGAATACATATTCACAATTTGTTTAAGTTTTGTTTGCTAAATGTTCAGCTTTACCCTCTCATTTAAAGTGATATCTAAATAAATACATTCTACGTATTCAGTACCAACGAACGATATACTAAGAAAAGTCGGTAAACATGTGTAGTTGTATTATATGTGATAATGTAGTTCTAGGTAAATATTTCTGTGATCAGGGATAATACCTTAGTGTATTGTGATCAGTGAGGTATGTAATGTTTGGGTTAGAATTCCTACATTTATAAGTGTGCCTTGTTGTTGAAAGTCCATTCTTCCAAGATGCATATCGTCAGAAAACTATTGTTGCAAATATTGAAATAAAATGTTAAACAATCGATTGTTGAATTTTATTTATTTATTCAATACAAAGGCAAGGGGCGTCTTAACACTAAGCTACAAAAACCTTATAAAAGGCTTGTCCGTAGCGTTTCTTCAGTTAGCTAGTGTGTTTTTAATGCACCACGTTGCGCCAGCCACATTATTAGTTTTCCCTTCCTAAACAGGACCAAAGCTTGAACCAGAAAATCTAAAAAACTATGTAACATTGGTATAAACATATAAAATTGTAAAATAAAATAGTTGAGGAAAGAAAAACAGTAACAAAATCGTTACTACAGAACCTCTTTAATCAGAACCCCCATAATCCGAACGTCCACTATTCCGAAAGCCTCATTGCTGTACTCTTACTCCATACACAGTAGGCCTACAGTAGTTCAGTTCTTTATTGTATACTGTATTTATTGATATGCACACTGTAAGTTAATTGTTTCTACTGTAATGTACAGTACTGTTTATTCACTATGTTTATTACTGTAAATAAACACTGTGTTCTGTACGTATGTAATTAGCAAAAATAATAAATTTATTTATCAAAGTACAATTTTAACCAACTTTATTCATCACAAATTAAAAACAAAGTGAACAAGTAAACATTATAACCAGCTAATAATAGTTACTAGTGGTCGTCCTGTGGTCGAAACTCGACCAAAGTAATTAATGTACAGACTTCTCTATTTTATCCCCACACTGTAAATAACACATGTGATTTGAATTTCTTCCATTTGTTTTGATTTTCTGTTAACATTTTGTTGTTATTTCGTCACCATCATGGCAACCCGTATGCTCCATGTTAATTTTTTGAAGTTTTCAAATTAATTTTTTGTGCTTATTTGTTAGCCTATTTTAATTTTTAGAGGCATTCTGCACATCTACAGGAAAATATCTTTCCAACAGTATGCGTAGATTTTCTCTGCGATGCACACGACCTGAGAAAAAAGGTTTTAAAGAAACATGCTTGCCTATTAATATATAGATAGATAAGTAAAATAAATAAGCAATAAGTAAAGGTAGGCATTTAGGATGTAACACCTGAGTGAAAATTTAAAAACGTACGTTTTCATGTCCCTGGCCTTTTACTTCGTAGATACTGGATTTGTAGTTTATTATTATGTAATTTAATATTTTTTGGGACGGGGGCAACATGTTACACACATTTATTTGGTTTTAAATAGGTTCTAGGTATTTTTTTCGTATTATGAAAGTCTTGAAATTCACGACCATGACGTGTCCCTAGGGTACATTTTCCAACTTTCACGCTGTTTTTAGACTAATTATTCATGCCGAAATATATAAAGCCATATTTTTATTTCATCAATGGTTATTAAACTTACAAAAAAGGAGCATATTATAATTTTATTGTCATTGCAAACTGACTACCATGACAAAATAAGTCTGTCCCCCAATTTGGCGTCACGACCATTTGGGAAACATTTTCAACTTTGGAGCACGACAGTGGCAAGCCTGGCGTCAATGGAGTCAGTTGGTTTTAGAGACTAGTTCGGGGTGTACGTCAGGATTGTAGTGCCGGTCGTTTTGAGTTGAAAGGAGGAATTACAAGATTAATAAAGGAAAGATTGTGTTTTTTGTAATTTTGGTGTGTCCATGACCGTACGTAGTCATTCGATGAAGTAGACATGGTGTTAATTTTTGTTTATAAGATATTTCAATTGCTAGATTAACCTAGAAGTCCACTTTGTATCCTCGAACATGAGGTGCAGGGCTACCGCCAGAACAGAGCCAAATAACACGTAATTTCACGACCAAAGTTTCACGACCATCGCGGGTTTTTTCACGACCAATCCAGCCTTATGGATTATAGTGTGTTTGGTCATGACAATAACTTTAATATAATTGTAATTTGAACAGTTTAGTTCAATTGAAACACATATTTTTATTATAACTAACAGTATAATTGAAGGATTGTTTAGAAAGATTTAGATTATTTCAGAAAATTCACGACCGTACCGCTTGTCCCTGACCATCACGTTTATGATTTCTATCATAAAAAAATTCAAAAATTAAAATATCGTCATATTTCAATGTTTTCTACACAAAAGAATCACACCTCTATACAAACATAACGATTTTTCGGGTCTCGGGTAAGTTTTTTTCGGTGTTATACAAACTTAAAAAGATTTTATTGGCTTTTTTCAATTTTTTGAGTTTTTTTATTTTTTTCTAGAAAGACCAAATATACCAAAAGCTCAGTGACCTTTTTATTGTATAATGGTCATAAAAGTAAATTAGTTTATAGCAAAACATAGTTATAAAAATAATATTAACTATTTTTAATATTCATTTAAGCGTCTGTTATGGTCGTGACAGGATTTTGTGTTTTTCCACTAAAGATGCTCTATTAAAAAAAAACCACCAAAGATATTGCGTTACCATGGACATTTGATGAAACTTCAAATGTTAATGAAATAAAAATAATAATAAAAGTTTTGAAAAAAGGGAAAAAAAATTTGCAAAATGCTTTTCCTGAAAACGTACGTTTTTAAATTTTCACTCACCTCCCCAGGGGTGCCCAGAGGGGGGGACTGTGGCGCGTTTGCGCCACAGGAATTTTTGGGGGGGGGACTTTTTTGGGGGCTTTTGGGGGGGACATCTTTTTGCTAGCTATTATAATGAATGTATAATTTTGTATAAGCAGCCTGAAAAGTGTTTCTAAGTAGTTCACTATCAACACCAACAACATTTTGCCATTCATAATTAAGGTTGCTTCTAAGAATGGTAAAAACAAAAACACACCTTGTAAGGCAATCCTTAATATTCTAGTGACGAATTGTTTGATACATATGTTGTGGTGGTTGGTGGGTGGTTGGAAATCAAGATTAAAATTACATGTTTTCAAAAACTTTTCTGTTCAGCGATGAAGCACATACATTCATCTAAGCAAGATCGTGTGATTTAACACTGTGTGATTACTTTCTTTGGGGATATTTAAAGTCGCTTGTTTTTGCCATTAATCCTTAAACAGATTAATCCTTGAAATAGATTTTTAGTAGATATTTACACATTACAGACTAAAAAGTATCAAATAATTTATAAATAAAAAACACTTTTTAAGTACCACGTTTTTAAACACACTAAAAAGTTGAAAATAATGTATAAATATGTGGAGAGAATAAATACTTGTAACATTTAAAACGAAAAACGTGGGACCAATGCAATAGATAATAATAACTCAATAGGTTAAGATAATCGTAAATTAGCTATTGCATGCTCCCACGTTTTTCGTTTTTAAATCGTACAAGTATTTATTTTCTCAACATATTTATAAATTATTTTCTACTTTATAGTGTGTTTATAAATGTGGTATTTAAAAAGTTTTTTTTATTTATAAATTATTACTTTATAAACCATTTTCCACTTTTCCCATAACAATTAAAATTCAATTTAGCCAGGATTTATATATTCTTATGTTGTTATGCAAAAACAACAATATGTTCTGTAATCCTAACTACAGTATTCAAATAGATCAAACTACCCCCAGTCCCAATTAGTTCGGATTAAAAAAGATTCTACTGTATATAAATAATATTTTATCTTAAACTAGGTGTACTCTTAACATGAGTATAACAAGTTTTAAAATTTAAATATCAACAGTAACAAAGAATTAAATCAATTACCTTTTCTTTATGTAGTCAGTTACTTAATTTTTTTTAAGTAACTGGTCATGAATTGGTTCAATAACATTGGTACATATTTAAATAATAAATAATAAATATGGAAATATTTAAATCAAACTTGGCAAATTTATTTATTTTATACCAAGCTATTAATATTTTGCTTAAAAACACACTTTATTACCCTCCCTGTATCAGCAAACCTAGGTAGGCTACTTGTTCAACCTTGTTATTTAAATAGATTTAATTGAAAATCCAATCAGGTAAATGGAAATTCGCTTAGTCTGCAGGTTTGCTGCGGCAGGGGTATTTTTATTATTATATTGTTTCATCATTCATTATGTCATATCTCAAGATCACCTGTAAATGATGGAAAATATCTGTTTTGAAAATAAAAAGTAAGAATCTAACTTTTTTCATATAGTACCGGTAGCTATACAGTTTCAACCTAAACATAAATGGTAAGTATTTTATGTGCCAACCCATACTTCTGTCAACCAAATGCTAAATTTGTCAAAACTATTATAAATTGTTTGTTTGCACAGTACTATCTAAATTAGTGCCAGATCAGAACACATTTTAGTAACTATACTGCTACACTGACATCTTCTACACTGCTACACCACAATATCTGCTACACTACAACATGAGACTGAAGGATCTGGATGGAATTTTCTTGGTGGTAAGAAATTTGTTATATATATATATAAAACATTATTTTTTACTACGCACCTGATAATACAGACGATGTAAAGAACTACTCTCAGTGGCACTGCGGGCTGTTTTCGGTCTAGCTCCCCCAATTCCCGACTGGCAGAAGCCGACGCAGTCCATACATTCACCATTATAAAACGCACCTTTTTAGTTAGTGGTCTTTTGAAATATACCGAGATAAAATATTGCTAACAGATGTCAGACTCTTTTTTGGTGCACATTTCGGACCTGTGCAGTATTGAATATGTTTGAACCAGCTGTGTGGAAATGTGGAATCAAAATTAATTTATTTGACAGTCTGCTTGTTTACATTTAAACTTTGTGAAATAGTACAGGTAAAACTCACCTAAGAAAACATAAAAATTAGTCCATTCATGAAACTTGCAGGAAACGTAGTAATTACCATTAGGTTTTGAAATCTGAAGAGTCCCTAGTGATTGTGGGGGTGGAAGTACCATTTTATGGGGGTAGTGATTTTGAGAAAATTTTTATTTATGGGATCCAAGCAAGTGAGGTGTCGTTTTCTATGTTTCTTAGGATGCAGAATCGAAAAAGAACATAATAAAAGCAATACAACCGACGGTTTATTAGAAAAAGACTAATTTATTAATGAAAAACTAAATATTACAAATTAATTAAGGTAAAATAACCCAGTTAATATCAATTATTACAAAACTGACCATGAGTCTGTGTCACATGTTAAAGTTGTGAGGAAAATTAACCACCATTAATTAAGCACTTGTAGTGCTTGAATACGATATATAATCCCAGTTTGTCAATGGTCGAGTTTGATTAGGTCATTTCAAAATGTCGGCCGTTAATCACTAAAATAATTACAATTTGTTTAGTGTTTTGTTTTATCAACTCTCTCCAGAAATCTTCAGCAATCTTTAATTTTCCTTGCAATCATAGGTCGTGATGCCGTCTCTCTATTTCCTGGAATAGGCAAAATACCCCCAGTGCAGCAAACCTGCAGATTAAGTGAGTTTCCATTTGCCTGATTTGATTTTCAATTAAATATATTTTAATTGAGTTTAATTAGTACCTAGGTTTGCTGCTACGGAGACAATAATAAAGTGTGTTTTTTTTTTTTTTTAATTTTAATAGCCAAGGTCAAAATAAATAAATTTGCCAAGTTTTATCAAAATATAACCTTAAGCGAGCAAACTACAACAGTTTTCTTATTCTCCATAAGAATAAAATGAGAATGATAAATTTACAATTTTTGAATTTTCTCGGTAGGTAACCAATATTCGTACAAAAACACTTCAATAAACAAAATTATTGGTTTTAGCGAATTTCCCTATAGGGAAGTAGCTATTACCGTAGGTGGCACGGTAAGACCTAGACCCGGGACCGATTTACTTTTTCATTTTGATGTCCCCAGAGGCCAAAAACACCATTCGTTCAAATTTTTATATATGTATATATATATAGACTTATATATATATATATATATATATATATCGTGAACGCGATAACTTGAGTAATTTTTGTCCGATTTTGATGAAATTTGGTTTAAAGGTGTAAAGCGGGATAAACTTGAATGAGTTCGCGAACCAGCACGATCGGACCATGGGAACGGGGCTTTACGGGGGGTTTTATGGGGTAAAAATTGGTTTTTCTCACTTTTGACCCTCAAAACACAAAATTTCCCGATTTCTCTTTAGACCTTTTTAAAGAGCTTAAAAAAACAAATAATTTAGTATATAAAAGTATTTTTGTTCGATTATTAGTAACGGAGAAAATTAAAAAAATTGTAAATTTAAAATTCCCATGTTATTCTTATGGAGAATATTGTCAAATGTTGTAGTTTGCTTGTTTATGGATATATTTTGATCAAACTTGGCAAATTTATTTATTTTGTACTAAGCTATCAATATTTTACTCAAAAACACACTTTATTAGTTTCCTTGTAGCAGCAAACCTAGGTACTCGTTAAACCTAATGTTATAAAATATATTTAACTGAAAATCAATTCAGACAAATGGAAATTCGCTTAGTCGGCAGGTTTGCTGCGGCGGGGGTATTTAAGGTATTTATAATCATCATTATATCCAAAATTGTTTAGAGAGAAATTGAAAAATTTTATGTGTAGAGGGTTAATTATGACAAAACCCAATTTTGACCCCATAAATCCCCCCAAAAACCCCGTTTCCATGGTCTGATCATGCTGGATTGCGAACTCGTTAAAATCAATCTAAAGATGTTTTGTACTTTTCTATATGACAAAACATGAAACTTTAACAGCGTTAATGACTGTAGACGTGTCCTTTTTAAAGAACGTTAGCACGATAACTCAAGTAAAAATGACCCAATGTTGAGGGAATTTGGTAAAAACGTGTAAACCTACGTTTACTCGAACGAGTTTGCGAACCAGCATGATCGAACCATGAGAACAGGGTTTTCTGGGGGATTTATGGGGTAAAAATTGTGTTTTCTCATGTTTGCCCCTCTAAACGTAAAATTTTCGAATTTCTCTCTAAGCCATTTTGAATATCATGATTGGATATTTTGCTAGTTTATGGTTATATTTTTTTAAAACTTTGATGATTGATTTATTTTAAACTATTCATATTTTAATTAAAAAACACACTTCATTACCCTCCCCGTAGCAGCAAACCTAGTTAACACTAATTAAACTTTAGGTTATTGAAATAGATTTAATTAAAAATCAAATCAGGCAAATGGAAACTCACTTAATCTGCAGGTTTGCTGCGGTGGGGGTATTTTTCCTATTCCATGAAATGCAGAAACGGCATCACAACCTGTCATTGCAAGGAAAATGAAAGATTGCTGCAGATTTCTGGAGAGAGTTGATAAAACAAAACGCTAAACAATTTTAATTATGTTAGTGATTAACGGCCGCCATTTTTAAATGGCCTAATAAAACTCGACCATTGACAAACTGGGATTAGATATCGTATTCAAGCACTTGTATGCCAAATTTCATTAAAATCGGTTCAGGCATTTATTAATTCATAGCGACCCAGCATCCTCTTACGAGCGCTATATTGATGACGTCATTGCGGGCGACCAAGGTCCTTAAAAATTGGGGTCCGAGCGGTTTTACATTCTTGGTCTTATATATTATTTCACCCTAAGTTGCAGGATCACCGCCAGAACTGAAATATTTTTGCTACGCATACTTAGCCGTCAGTGTTAAGTCAAGACGACGATGGAGAAGAACGAGTTAGAGACCCTGACCATTCCATGGATGGTGATGATGCATCAGTAGCCGATGAACAATATGACACGTGGTGGTTAAAGAGGTGAAACTACCAGTTTCTTGGTTAATTTTCCTCACAACTTTAACATGTGACACAGACTCATGGTCAGTTTTGTAATAATTGATATTAACTGGGTTATTTTACCTTAATTAATTTGTCATATTTCGTTTTTCATTAATAAATTAGTCTTTTTCTAATAAACCGTCGGTTGTATTGCTTTTATTATGTTCTTTTTCGATTCTGCATCCTAAGAAACATAGAAAACGACACCTCACTTGCTTGGATCCCATAAATAAAAATTTTCTCAAAATCACTACCCTCATAAACTTTAACCCCCATAAAATGGTACTTCCACCCCCACAATCACTAGGGACTCTTCAGATTTTAAAACCTAATGGTAATTACTACGTTTCCTGCAAGTTTCATGAATGGACTAATTTTTATGTTTTCTAATGGTTTTTTAGTATAATTTTACCTGTACTAAAATTGTACTATGTTACCATGGAGACCAATATTACTTTTAAATCTCTCACCTCAGAATTTTGGAAGCCCGCAGGGCAGAGTCCTAGTTTAATATCAAAGGGGCAATAGTTCTATATGTATCCTCGGAGCGGTAGCTTTATTTTTGTCAAATTTGAGCCCAATCTGTTCAGTAGTTTTTAAGTTTATCTCATACTAACACACAGACTCACAGACACCCCCTTTTCTTTATAATAGTATATATAAATATATATGAATTTGAACGGATGGTGTTTTTGCCCCCTAGGGACCTCAAAACAAAAAAGTAAATCGGTCCGGGGTCCAGGTCTTACATTGAGTCCACCAGTACTACGGTAATAACTTATTCCCTATATGGGAAATTCGCTAAAATACACAAATACCATTAACTGCCTCCTAACAGTCTAAACAAAACAGCTGTTACAACACTACTTGCCATGATGCCACTTCGAAGGCCGCGTCCTTGAGTTAAGGTAGCCGCTTTTAACACAAGTTCAATGATGTGACAGATCTATCTCTGAATATACAGGGTGTTGAAAATGTCTGGAACCAACATTATATCTGGTGAGTGGTTAAAGAAAAACAACTGATATTTTGTGTATGGATATAATATGGTTTTACCTATCTTTTGGTGCCTTATGAAATGTTTTTACCACTTATAGGGAACGTCCTGTGGAGGATGCAGTATAAAGCTTTAATGGAAGCCTATAGTAAATGATACATCATTTTAAAGGCCATTTTTTTCTGAGTAAGGAGCCACAAGTTTCATCTTAAAAGGACCACCCTAGCAAAAATGGTGACTGTTTGAAGTTTTTGAAAATAATTGGAAGCTTAATTGGTATTTCTGTTAAAAATAAGTTTAGTAAAACGCCATTTTCGCTAGGATGGTCCTTTTGGGATGAAACTTGTGGCTCCTTACTCAGAAAAAAATGGCCTTTAAAATTATGTATCATTTACCATAGGCTTCCATTAAAACTTTTTACTGCTTCCTCCACAGGACGTTCCCTATAAGTGGGTTTTTAAATTTCAAACAGTCGCCATTTTTGCTAGGGTGGTCCTTTTGAGATGAAACTTGTGGCTCCTTACTCAGAAAAAAATGGCCTTTAAAATGATGTATCATTTACTATAGGCTTCCATTAAAGCTTTATACTGCATCCTCCACAGGATGTTCCCTATAAGTGGTAAAAAATTTCATAAGGCACCAAAAGATAGGTAAAACCATAGTATATCCGTACACAAAATATCAGTTGTTTTTCTTTAACCACTCACCAGATATAATGTTGGTTCCAGACATTTTCAACACCCTAAATAAACATATGTTTTTGATAGGTAGCACTGACCCTGTCAGATTCCTTGCATGTGCTTGGAGGAAATGATCATGAAGGCATGGACAACTGTGATAGCAAGTTATATTTATACCAAAAGGTAAGTCACTCCTATTGTAAGTAAGGGTAGTTTTTCAAAGAATTTAGTTTATTCCATTACTACACAGAGTAAAAGGAAATTACAAAGACTGTACACAAAGTAGAATAATCCATATAATATAGCATACTGTAAATTTGAAGAACCAAATTTTACCAAACTCTGTCCTCCCCCATTGCAAACGCAAAGCTTGAGTACAACTGCAATAAGCATTTTATAGTTATACTAGTTGAACCCGTGCGAATTCGCACGAATAATAAATTAGGATCTTATAGCAACATCTTTAGAAGTTGCGTCGTCGTATCGGCGTTGGTCTTGAGCTCGATCGTTGGCTATATGCATTCTTTTTGCTGTTCAGTAGGAGTATTTTGCAGGACGATGCTCATCGTGCTGAAAACTTGCGCGTATGGATTAATATCAACCAAATGTTGAGTCAAAATGTCCATGAGTTCAGTGCTGCAAGAGACATTAGCTTTGTTTAGCATTATTTCTTGAACAGCGGTTTCGACGACCGTAGATATAAATTTGGGCATATGTGGGATGCTCCCCTTCTGACGGTTGAAAGGTGCTAGTTGAGTGATAAATTGTGTCGTGCACCTTATACATGAAAGGCCCTCCACCGTTATGTTCTTCAATTTTAGCTCGAGTGATGACCATTGCGAGCGCAGAGTTGTACGATCTAATGTTCTCTTTGTAGTTTCAGCTCAATTGATTTGCTCTATTAAGTAGGCTCTGGATATAATAGATTTCTCGGTATGGTGGTAGATTCACTTTTCTTTATGGCAGCAGGATGAAAACCCTTCGCCTCGTCCTTTTTGTTCTTCTTTAAAATGTAGCGCACCACATTTCTGACATTTTAATGCCATCTCGCCAAGTGAATGCTGCTGAGAATTTTTCAAAACTAAACAAAACAGCTGGGATTTTTTTTACTAATGTATTGACATTTGTTTTAGAATACAATAACATTCAAATCAATCACAATGTTATCCTTATGGAAGGAACTTTGAGGGCAGCCCACACCCTTAAAAAGATATATTTTGAAAATCTAAAGCCAGTTTGCACATCTACACACCTAGACAAACATTTTGGTATACAATATGTGGGGTTAAATCTTAAAACCAAAAAGCTTTATTGTTCACAAAGTTTCATGTCGCGTATTAAATATATAGATGCCAACACCGTACGAAGGATGGGTACTCTGCTAGTCTTTAATGAAATTGTTATCTTTCCTCTTTAATATGATACTGTCCCTTCCCTCTTAGCTTCTTTCTGTTTTTCCACTCATCCAAGCATATCCAGTTCATCTTTTGCCTTTCCAATTCTAATCGCCCCTTCCTTTAACTACTCAGTACCTTCTTCCTGCCCAGTGATTAACACACTTGTAATGTTTTTGCTATGTTGATAGTATCATGACTGCGAAGAAATCTCACGCCTTGTAACGGAATACTATCCAAGTGTGGGTATTGAGGAGAGTTTTGCTGCACAAGTTGGAGAGTAAGTGTGTCCCTTTGTATTCCTTATCGAGTGAAGTGAGAGTGTGTACCATTGCGTCCATTGGCTCTTGGATACTGAAGTAGACATCCCATCTATTTGGACCTGTCACCAATTTTTAATGAACAAATTACATAGTTCTGTGAGCCAGTCATATATTGCGCCAACCCCATGCGAGTTTATGGGGAATAAAAGATGCTATAGCTTGGAATTCATTATATCAACTTGACTCGGTTGGAAATGCTGAAAATTTGTTAGAAATCAAATCAGTGCAATCTGTCAGTGGCTCACATCAACTATATCCTTTTTGATTTTAAAACTGGTGATAGCTTTAACATGGGTATGGAATGTCATCTATGTGCCTACCAAATTGGTTTTTCAAATTATTTGTAAATTAGGTGCTAAAACTGAACAAGACCAGATAACTTCTGGAAAACAATCGAAGATCAGAGCCAGACAAAATCCTTTAGTCACTATTGGCATATAGATTTTTTTTTTTCTTTTAAAGATTCTTTCCGACACAACAGCTGAAAGCAAATACTTTATGCAGCAGTTACAAACATTGTTCTTTCTTTCAGGTACAAAAAATGCCAAGAAGAACTTCTGGATTGTGCTCTAATGTTTGCAAGAAATGAAGCGAAAAAGAAAAACATCGAGGTGGAACTCTGGCTACTTCAAGAAGGAAGGTCCATCAGGTGAAAGAACATGCATCTTAGATAATTTAACTAAACACTGAAAACTGTTGATGAAATGTAAACAAAATAGTGATCTTAGGTTTGCTGTATATTTTTGTTTAAAAGACATGCTGTAAACTCCTGTGTAGTGTAAACTTCAAATTTGAAAGTTGCTGGATCGATCCAAAAGGTTGCCAATTAGTGATGCTCTGTAACAAAATATTAACATTAGATAATAACAAGATCAGGGTTTAGACAGTTCCGTTACAAACGCAAACCATTCCAGTGACGTAAAAAGAGTAAAATTTAAAAAAAATTACCATGGTAGACAAATTGATATAAAATCGATGGTTAGATATCGTATACCTATATGATTAGTTGTAGCCAACTCTTTATAGAAGGTATGAAAGAGAGTAAGCCGTCAAAGTCTGTTCTCCCTCAGATTTTGAAACTACAGTATGATGATTGATTTGATGCAAACAATTCTACAGTATACTTAACAATACTCCCGCTGCAACAAACCTGCAGACCAAGCTAATTTATATTTTTATGTTTTTTGTTTTTTCACTCAAGTATACAGGGTGTTTCCAAATTGTCTGGACATATTTTGTGGACTTGTTTCTTGGACTAAGACAAACATAAAATTCCATATAAGTATGGGTCTAAAATGCCTAGATTTCTGTTTGTCAGGTGGTTTGTGTTTTTAAGAATTATTTTATATCTTGGGCATTTTTCAAGATAGAACTTTTAAAAGGGAACCGGAGTTTTGCCAACGGGTGTCAGGTAGATGGGGGGGATGCCTTCGGCCACCTCTTGGTGCGGAGATTTGCCAACGGTGGTGGTGGGAGAAAGAGTGTGACGTCCGGAAGGAAGGAGAGCGATTGTCAGGGTTGTCTACGCTTGGCAGTTATGCGCTTGTCGCAGTGGGTTAGGTTAGGTTAGGTTAAGTTAGGTTAGGTTAGGTTAGGTTAAAAATTCAATACATTTCCTTTCACAGTCAGAGGTGCATAACTGCATTACATACTTTGAACACAGTCAGCATCCTGCCTGGTTTGTGGTCACGTGTAATCTCTCTCCCCCTCCCCCTCTCGCGCAACCCACAACCGTTGGCAAAACTCCGCAGTATGTGGAATTCATGGATGGGGACCCTTTCTACCTGATAGCCGTTGGCAAAACTCCTACACTCCTTTTAAAATTGGTATAAACGTGTATTTTAGAAGGTGAAAAGAACTTAAAAAGTTTCGTTCCAATCTCAAGCCGTTTCAATATGGCAGCGATTTAAAATCTTTAATGCCAAAATTCATAAATATTTAGAAAATTGGTTCCTGAATTTAAAAGATAGATAATTTAAATCCAAATCAAATGAGACCTTGTTTGATAAAATCAGATGACGAACAACCGAGTTATCAGTTTTTTCTACATTTGTTTACACAATTTATAATAGGACTACCCATACTGCTATATGTAAAATAACAAATAAAAAACAAGGTAATGCCTCCATATACCGAATTATTTGTTATTTTATTCTTTATAAAGTGGTTTAGAAAGAAATTGCAAAATTTAATGTTTCCCGGATCATTAATGAGAAAACGTAATGTTTACCTCATACAACCCCGTTGCCATAGTCTGATTATGCTGGTTTGGTAACTCGTTCAAACAAAATGTAGGTTTTCACATTTTATACCAAATTTCATCAAAATTGGATCATTTTTCTCCGACATATAGGTATTTATATATAAATAAATATACATATAAATTTGAACGGATGGTGTTTTTGGTGTCTGGTGACTTCGAAACATAAAAATTAAATTGGTACTGGTCTCACTATGAGACCTACTATAATAACTTGTCCTCTCAGTTTGACTTGTTTCAAAAGTTAACAGCAGCAGCACACTTTATGGAGGCCCGATTGAACTATGTACGTCCATCTTTGTTACATAACTTGCATCAGAACGTTGATGCAAGAAAACATTGACGTCTATTGGAATACTTGAATTGTTTCATGATAAATAAAGATCTTGAATCTTGACAAAAAAAATCAAGTTTCATATGGGAATGGAGCGTATATAGTCTTATATGGAGAGTCAAAACCGTCATGAAACCTCCTCCGAAATATTAACCTGCAATTTTTCTAATTTAAACAGTATAGCGGAAAATAACTCTGCAACATTTATGTGCAGCAATAAATCCAAAACTAAGTTGTAACTTATGTTAACAAATTCTTAGAATTTGACTTGTATTTCAGGAACGATGAGGACACAAAAAAACTTCTCATGGAGGTGAACAACTACACAAACAAAAGAAAAGTGTCCTTCCCCATTAGGAGTTGGAGGAACATACAACAGAGGGATCAGGAGAACGAGACTTATACCAGTTGGATATTTTCAAAGGTGCTGTGTGACTGTAAAACAAACATATCAGTGTCCAACAACAACCTATTATACCACCTTTTCTATTGTTTAAAAAATTCCTAGAACCACAAAATCAATGGCTGTACTCGAGCAGTCTAAATTGTCCGGTCAGATGACCATGACACAATTTTGTTTACATCCTTATAAAAATGGGGGCGTCGAACAGTTGGTGATGTTTTAGTGACTTCAAGTAAAATATTGTAATGTTACAGTAGACTCTTGATAATTCGAAATTGGTGGGCCAAGCATAAAAATTTGAATTATCAAGAGTTTTGAATTATCAAGAGTTCGATTTATCGGGAGAAAAATAAACCATTCGAATTACAGAGAGTTCATTTGTTTAATACATACAAAGGTACAGCACGTTATAATAAAACATCATACCGTATTTTAGTACACAATCAACGGCTTATTTTTCAGTTACTGTAGTTGCAAAGAAATCTATTATTTAGCGCCATATATTTCGCCAATAGCTGAACTATCAGCTGTCGACAACTACATTTGTGCTCAAGGAGATGTCGCGCAATCTAGAGATCGGATTGCCAACTTAGAAAAACAAGTCAGCGAACTAACTCAGACTACTGCTCTAAACAAACATCAAAACATCCAACACTATCCTACCATGGGAACAGGATGTACTGTACTGTATAGTTTCCTGTTGTAACAGGAAGAGATCACTTCGAATTATAGAGTGTTTTGCCGACTAAACTTCGAATTACTGCGTGACTTTGATTTATAGAGTGTTTTTTCGACGAAACTTCGAATTACAGCATGACTTTGAATTATAGAGTGTTAACCAACGAAACTTCGAATTACTGAGTTACTTCGAATTATAGAGTGTTTTTCCGACAAAACTTTGAATTACTGCGTGTTAGAAATTGACCTGCCCTCTATTTGGACTTTGAAATACCGAGTGTATCAAAATGCATGGTAAAAATTTGAATTATTGAGAGATTCTCTAGGGACTGAGCCTTCATTTTGAATTATCGAAAGTTTTGAATTATCAAGTGTTTGAATTACCAAGAGTGGACTATTTGAATCAAGAATCGAGAATCTTTATTGCCTTTGATCCATGTAATACAGTCATTGGCATAGTCAACAGCAAATTAAATAAATACATAAGATTCTAACAATAATAAAAAATACTAATTTACATAGATGTGAACAATAACAGTCAATAACATCAAATTAAATCTTAATATTAATTAGGACATGATAAAAATTTGTCTATTGTATACAAATAATTGCCACTCAGATAATTTAATTTTAAAGTGTCTCATAGAAACAAGTCGGGCAGTGTCAGGCAGTTTATTGAAAAATCACTCTTAGTTAAATTAATCTAGAGGTTAAAATACCTTTTAGTTAATCCGTCAGTGTGATCACGTCACCGATGAGTGGCGACCGGTTTCAGCCCAGCAGTGGGGCCATCTTCAGGCGATAATAGAAAAAAAATATCACTCCGAAGAGTCTGTCAGAAAGTCTTTACAGTAAATACATCACGAGAAACAACACTTAAATACATTTTTTTACAAAAACACGTGTGGCCACAAATCAACTGCGCGGCGGACGGTACGCGTACATTAAGTTGCTAGTCCAGAATGTCGTGTAGCAAATATTTATAGCCAAATATGAAAAATAGAGAAAAAATTAGCTTAAACATGAAAGGTATATGTAAAAATTAGCCAAAACTTCCATTTTTAAACACTGAAATTTATCCGGGTGTAGCGCCATGCCATCATACCCACTGACACCAGAGGGGTTCTGTACTATTTTACTAAGAATTAAGTGGATGCACTGTTTTATGTCATAACTCAAACTCAACTAACTTTATTTACCTTTTTACAAACATAGAATAACAAATAAACATATGATTATAATTAATAGAAATTAACAGGTGTTATGAAATAAACTGTTCTCACAACATCCTCCCTTTTAAGTTTGAAAGTTCTTCAACCAGCTTGGTTTGTGTATATTTCTCTTTGGACGGTTGTATGGTTCTGTTTGATGTGCATTCTCAGACAAATGTTGTTCACTGTTTTCCTCTCTTAAATAAGGGGCAAGTTTGAGGTGGAATCGATTTCTTCTCACATTCCTCTTATCAGTTTCAACAATATATGAACGAGGGCTGTCCAGGATTTTCACAATTTTGCCATGTCTTCTAAGGTCCACAATCCAAACTGGGTCTCCTATATGAAGAGGATTGAGAGTTTGCACTTTGTGCCTTCTATCATAGTTGTGTTTATACTTCTCACGATATGTTTCTTCTCTCCCCTTAAGATCCTTTAGATCTGGTTTTCCACAAAGCAAATGTCCTGTCTGAGGCAATGTGCTCCCTAATCGCCTGTTCATGAGAAGCTGAGAGGGACTGTACCCATTCCAGAGGGGTGTCGTTCGATAGGCTAGAAGTGCTAAATAAGGGTCTTCCACATTTTTCTTTAGAATCATTTTGGCGATTTTCACTGCGGCTTCGGCATCTCCATTGCTTTGGGAAATTTTTGGGCTACTTGTTATATGCTTGAAGCCATAAACTTTGGAAAATGTCTTGAAATCTGAATGTTCAAGGACTTGAAATTGAGTCCCACAGTCAGACCTAACTTCTTCTGGAATGCCATGTCGACAGAAAAAGGCTTTGCATCTAATTATTACTTCTCGTGATGTTAACGACTCTAATTCAGCTATTTCAAAATATCTGGAGTAATAATCTGTCACAGTCAAAAACCAAACGCCTTCAAGTTTGAATAAATCCATTGCAAGTGTTTTCCATGGTCTGTCAGGGAATGGTGTGGGAAGCAATGGTTCATGACTGTTCCTTGAATGTTTAATACAAGTAGGGCATGATTTCACCATACTTTCAATGGCTGAAGAAATTCCTGGCCACCAGACTGACTCTTTTGCACGTAAACGACACTTGGTAATTCCAAAATGACCTTCATGTACTCTTTGAAGTGCCCAAGACTGGAGAGCTGGTGGAATTACAAGTCTTGAACCTCGTAGTATCATCTCATTATCAACACTTAGCTCATCCTTAACTGAATTATACGGTTTTAGGTCATCTCGTAATGATGTCTTAGAAGGCCAACCTTGGATGATTATTTTTTTCAGTTCACATAAAGTCGGATCTTTATTTTGTTCTTCCAATACTTTAGCAACTATGCAGTCGTTTATATCAATGGACGACAAAACCATTTGAACAAACGCTTGAGTTTCTTCTTCTAACTCACGGTCATCAGTACCTGAAAATGGGAGAGGTGCTCTTGAAAGAGCATCAGGAACTAGAAGCTGCTTTCCAGGAATATAGGTAATTGAAAAATCATATCTCATGAGACGCAATCGAATTCTTTGAATTCTTGGAGACAATTCATCAAGATGTTTGGATTTCAAAATTTGAAGTAGTGGTTTGTGATCTGTTTGTATTGTTATTCTCTTGCCAATAATAAATTCTTGAAACTTTTCACATGCCCAAGCAACAGCTGTAGCCTCCCTCTCGATGTTTGTATAGTTTTTTTCAGAAGGAAGAAGGTTTCGGGATGCAAATGATACTGGTCGTATAGAACCATCATCTTGAACTTGAGAAAGAGTTGATCCTAGTCCTTGAAGCGAGGCATCACAGGAGATAATTGTTTCCCGATTTACATCGTAAATGGCTAGGCAAGGAGAGTTAGTCAAAATGAGTTTTATTTCATCAAATGCCTTCGCCTGCTCTGGACCCCATATCCATGGAACGTTAGCTTGAAGTAATGAATTCATTGGGGCCAAAATCTTTGCTTTTTCAGGAATAAACTTACCAAGAAAGTTTACCATCCCATTAAACCTTTGAAGTTCTTTTACGTTTTTTGGGCAGTCCATTTTGAGAATGGCGGAAACCTTTTCCTTATCAACAGAAATTCCATCGGATGAGAGGAAATGCCCGAGGAATTTAATACTTGACTTTCCAAACTCAGTTTTGTCTTTGTTAAGTGTCATTCCTACATTTTTAAGTTTTTCAAGTACTTGCCGAACAACTGTATCATGTTCTTCTTTCGTTTTGCCCCAAATCAGAATATCGTCCATATGGACGGCGACATTTGACTGGTTGTCTAAGATTTTGTTCATGCATTTCTGAAAATGTTCAGGTGCTGATGTGATTCCAAATGGAAGTTTGAGAAATTTAAAACGTCCAAAAGGGGTAAGGAAAGTAGTTAGATCCTGGGATTTTGCATTTAAGGGGACTTGCCAAAAACCACTGTTTGCATCAAGTTTTGAAAACCATTTTGCTCCTGAGATTGAGCTGAGAGACGTTTCAATTTTGGGAATCGGATGATAAGACCGCTGGATAGATTCATTCAACTTTGTTAAGTCAACACATATGCGGACATCTCCGTTAGATTTAGGCACTACTACCATTGCTGAGCACCATTCAGTAGCATGCTCAACTGGTGTGATTACATTATTTTGTACCATACTTTCTAGTTCTTTTTTTACTCGACACATTAGGGGTAAAGGTACTGTCCTAGGAGTGGTTATTGCATATGGCTTTGCGCCATCCTTAAGTGCTATTGTGTAGGGATCAGGAATGACGCCCAGACCACTAAACATTTCATGGTATTCGGTAAAAAAGTCACTGTCTACCTCTGCAACTGAATTAACAAAAGTTAAAATTTTCAAGTCCTGTATTGCTGGACGACCAAGCAAGGGTGTTATGAGTCCCTTCACTACATATACCATGTGATTTATTTTAACATTGAGCCGTGACTTGCCCACCAAGCGTCCCACCAATGTCACGCCTCAGTTTTTTTTATAGTGCGAGTACTGGCTTTGCGCCGGAACTCAATCGGTTTGGGTCTGGCAGCAGTCCTGCAGACCCCGGGGCAATTTTTCCGCTGTCGGACACATTTTCGGCAGAAGGACAGCGACTGTCATTACTACACACACAGTTTGTTTTGTTATTAATGTGCATAAATATGTATCTGCGTCCATCGTCAGAGAAGATTGTTTTATCT